GGTCATGAAGCTCTCAGCAGCTGTTGCACCAGAGAAGTGTGAGGCAGAAATGCCAGCAGCTGCGTTTAGGACAGCTACACCAAAGCCACACACACCACCCACACCCCCATAGCAACCACACACCACCTAGTATCACCACAGCCACACACACCACCTAGTACCCCATAGCACGACACATCACCTAGTACCCCCATAGTACCACACACACAACACCTAGTATCACCTCAGCCACACACACCACCTAGTACCCCCATAGCACCACACACCACCTAGTACCACCAAGGTACCACACACACACCACCCAGCATCACCACAGCCACACACACCACCTAGTGCACCCCATAGCACCACACACACAACACCTAGTATCATCACAGCCACACACACCGCCTAGTACCCCATAGCACCACACACACACACCACGTAGTATCACCACAGCCACACACACCACCTAGTACCCCATATCACCACACACCACCTAGTATCATCACAGCCACACACACCACCTAGCACCCCATATCACCACACACCACCTAGTATCACCAAAGCTACACACACCACCTAGTACCCCATAGCACCACACACCACCTACTATGACTACCGCCACACACACCACCTAGTACCACCAAGGTACCACACACACACACCACCTAGCATCTCCAGAGCTACACACACCACCTAGTACCCCTATTAACACACATACACCACCTAGTATCACCACAGCCACACACACCACCTAGCACCCGCATAGTACCACACACACACACACCACCTAGCATCACCACAGCCACACACAACAGGTAGTATCACCACAGCCACACACCACCTAGTTCCCCATAGCACCACACACCACCTAGTATCACCACAGCCACACACCACCTAGTACCACCAAGGTACCACACACACACCACCCTGCATCACCACAGCCACACACAACACCTAGTACCCCCATAGTACCACGCACACACCACTAGTATCACCACAGCCACACACACACCACCTAGTACCCCCCATAGCACCCACACACCACATAGTATCACCACAGCTACACACCATCTAGAATCACCGCAGCCACACACAACACCTAGTAACCCCATAGTACCACACACACACCACCTAGTATCACCACAGCCACACACACCACCTAGCACCCCATAGTACACACACACACACCACCTGGCATCACCACAGCCACACACACCACCTAGTATCACCACAGCCACACACACAACACCCATACCCCCATAGTACACACACACACACCACCCAGTATCACCACAGCCACAACACACACCACCTAGGTATCACCACAGCTACACACACATCACCCTAGTGCCCCCACTTAATTGCCACACACACACACCACCTAGTATCACCACAGCTTCACACACATCACCCGGTGCCCCATGATTGTCTGGTATCACCGGCTACACCACCAATACCCCCTTGGTACCACACACCGCCTGGTGTCACCACGGCTACACACCTGGTATCACCACGGCTACACACACCACCTGGTGCCCCCATAACAACCACCACCTATATCACCTGGCTACACACCACCTGTGGTATCACCCGTACACACGCCGCCTGGTACCCCCATGGTACCACACCGCCGTCTGGTATCGCCGCAATGCACGCCGCAAATGCCCCCATGGTGCCACACTTTGCCACTGTAGTGTCACCACAGCTACACACCACCTGGTGCCCCATGGTACCACTCACCACCTGGTACCCGAATAACCACCACACACACCACCTACTGTCACCACAGCTACACACACACTGCAAATACTTCCCCCCCATGGTGCCACACACACACACCTGGTATCACCCACAGCTACCACACACCACCCTAGTGCCCCATGGTGCCACACACACACCACCTAGTGCCCGAATAGCACCACACACACCACACCTGCCTCACCACAGCCCTACACACCTGGAAATACCCCATGGTGCCACACACCACCTGAAGTATCACCACAGCTACACACACCACCTGGTACCCCCTTGGTACCACACACCACCTAGTACGAATAGCTGCCACACACACACCACACCTACTATCCCCGCAATACACACACCGCAAATGCCCCCATGGTGCACACACCACACCTAGTGTGCCACATTCACGCCCCACCTGGTGCCCCCATAGTGCCACACACACCACCTGGTGTCACCACATTCACACACGTCACCTGGTACCCCCCAGTACCCACACACACACACCATCTGGTATCCTGCCACAGCCCTACACACACCACCTGGTGTCACCACCAGTACACACACCACCAAATGCCCCCCCTTGGTGCCACACACACACACCACCCTGAGTATCACCACAGCTACACACACACCACCTGGTATCACCACAGCTACACACCACACATTTTACTTGGCACCGCCACGCCACCTATATCACCCTGACTACACACACCACCTAGTATCACCACCCAGCTACACACCACCTGGTACCCCCATGGTACCCACACACACACCATCTGAGTATCACCACAGCTACACACACACACCACCGTGCCCCCCATGGTGCCACACACACACCATCTGGGTATCTGCAGCTGCACACGCACCACCTGGTACTTTATGGTACCACACACCATCTGGTATCACCACAATACACACACCACCTGGTACCCCCATGGTACACACACACACCATCTGAGTATCCACCCACATTTCACACACCACCCTGGTACCCCATGGTGCCCACACACACACCGTGGTATCACCCATTTACACCACACACACCAAATACCCCCATGGTGCCACACACGCACCATCTGGTATCACCTGACTACACACACCACCTAGTACCCCCATAGTGCCACACACACACACACCATCTAAGTGTCACCACAGCTACACACACACACCACCTAATTACCCCCATGGTGCCACACACACCATCTAGTGTCACACAGCTACACACACCACCTAGTGCCCCCCATGGTACCACACACACATCTAAGTATCTTACAGCTACACACACACCACCTAGATTGCCCCATGGTGCCACACACACACACACCACTAAGTATCACCACAGCTACACACACACAAATACCCCCATAATTGCCACACACACACACCACCTAGTATCACCACAGCTACACACACACACCACCTGGTACCCCATAGTACCACACACACACACACACACCTAATATCACCACAGCTACACACATCACTAGTGCCCCCCATAGTGCCACACACACACCTACTGGTGTCACCACAGTTACACACCACCTGGTATCACCACAGCTACACACACCACCTCAATGCCCCCATGGTGCCACACACACACCACCTAGAATCACCTCAGCTACACACACCACCAGAGTATCCCCCATGGTGCCACACACCACCTGGTATCACCACAGCTACACACACCACCCTAGTGCCACCAAGGTTACGCACACCACTAGTATCACCACAGCTACACACACACCACCTGGTACCCCCCATGGTACCACACACACACCTAGTATCACCACAGCTACACACACATCACCTAGTACCCCCATGTGCCACACACACACACCACCTAGTATCTGCAACTACACACCACCA